TTTAAGCTACCACGGTGAGCACGCTAGCCTACGTACGGCGCGAAAGAAGTTCAACATAGATGCATGCATACGAGTAGAATCGGGGAGACAAAAAAAAGGTGACCATTTCTGTGCCCCTGTGTATTACACAGCCCGGAGGTTGATTGGTTTCACTCATAGGGCAGGGTCAGTTGAAAGATCTACATTGAAAGATTTTCGTCGTGTAGTTGTGCACGTGGCTGAGCACGTGCTGGGCACACGTGATCAAAACTATGCGTCCCCCCATCACCGGTTGCACCAAGCCGTTGGCCTCGCGCGGAGTGTGGTGATGATAACACGGACAGACAGAAGGCAAGTGGAATCAACAACTGCTTACGAGTGTATACACCAGAGGTGTGGACTCGAGTCATGTGACTTGGACTCGAGTCAGACTCGAGTCATGAATTTGATGACTTCAGACTCGACTTGGACTTGCATAACAATGACTTTGTCCCACCTCTGAGGTGTGGACTCGAGTCATGTGACTTGGACTCGAGTCAGACTCGAGTCATGAATTTGATGACTTCAGACTCGACTTGGACTTGCATAACAATGACTTTGTCCCACCTCTGGTATACACACACATACATACAGCAACAAATAAGACGACCCTCGACCATCATCTTGACCCGTTGGGGCAAAGTGTTGTTGGCGAGCACCTATTAAGGTCAACTTGGCTACGCGGTGCTGGTATGAGCCCAGAGGGTCAATATCAAACGCTCGCGGTCTCTCTTATCGTGGACATCCAGCGCCGATGACGAAAACGCAATTACGCCAGATACTAATTTTAGGCGGAGTCAACCCAGGGGAGAGCCAGAATAGCTTCATATAACCCCCAAAAACACGCTCGTGTACAAGACAAAGACAAATATTACCCTAAAAACCTTCATAGACTTTTGGGACAAGTGCTGTTAGCGAGCACCTATGAAAGCCAGCACGGTACACGAGGGGGTGGGTGCTCAGCGCCACGCCTGGCCGCCTTTGTCTTCCCAGTCCTGATGTTCACACATCGCACCAGGTACTCATTGAAGGCCGAGTCGAGCTAAGGGAGCCCCAGCGCCGGTTCAAATAATCGTCACTGGTGTTGGCTATGAGTGGAAATCGACCTCGGGTCGCCGGATTCGTAACTCGGCGTGCTAACCACTGCACCACCGTTCTCCATATATAAAGACAAAGGACCCCCGTATAGCCTAAATATACTTCTGGGGCAAGTGCTGTTAGCGAGCACCTATGAAGGCCAGCACAACACACGAGGGGGGTGGGTGGCCAGCGCCACGCCCGGCCGCCTTTGTCTTCCCAGTGGCGATGTTGACACGCCGCACACGCGCGCACGGACGCACACCAACCGCACTCACCTCGACTAGGTGTGCTCACCGCGGCTATTTGACTTGGGGCAAGGAAACACGTGGGGCGTCTGCTGAATAGTTCAGATGACAGCTGGCGGAGATCTTTCTCCAACCGCCTCCGCTGTGGAACAAAACGCGTTGCGTTCAAATGCACCCAGCGTGCCGATCGAGCCACGTGGCCAGCGGCTGAGACTAACTAACACACGTTGTATTTATTATATTTTATCCCGACCCTGACGCCTGCTGCTGTGTATTTGGAGTTTGCGTGTCTCTCTCCCCGTGGTCGCGTGGGTTTTTCTCAGAGCCCTCCGGGTTTCCCCTCCACATTTAAGAAACAACATCAATGCGTTTAGAATGTTCGGCTGCTCTAAATTTCCACGTGATCAGCCACTTCGTTCAGCTATCATATGGGGCAGGGTCGCATCAGAAAAAAACAGCTATATAGCTCAGTGGGGCCTTACTTGGTAGTGGCTGATCACGTGGAAATTTAGAGCAGCCACTCTAAACGCATGGTGATGTTGTTTCTTAAATGTGGAGGGAAAAACCGGAGGGCCCTGAGAAAAATCCACGCAACCACGGGGAGAGAGACACGCAAACTCCAAATATACAGCAGGAGTCAGGGTCGAGATCGAACCCACGACCTCCTGTATACTAGGCGAGGTAGTTAACATCTCCTAGCCACAGTGATAATGATGAGTGAGAGAGAGACACGCAAACTCCAAATATACAGCAGGAGTCAGGGTCGAGATCGATCCCATGATCTCCTGTATACCGGGCGAGGTAGTCAACATCTCCTAGCCACAGTGGTGATAATGATGAAAGAGAGACGCGCAAACTCCAAATATACAGCAGCAGGCGTCAGGGTCGAGATCGAACCCACGACATCCTGTATACCGGGCGAGGTAGTCAACATCTCCTAGCCACAGTGGTGATAATGATGATAGAGAGACACGCAAACTCCAAATATACAGCAGGAGTCAGGGTCGAGATCGAACCCACGATCTCCTGTATACTAGGCGAGGTAGTTAACATCTCCTAGCCACAGTGATAATGATGAGAGAGAGAGACACGCAAACTCCAAATATACAGCAGGAGTCAGGGTCGAGATCGAACCCACGATCTCCTGTATACTAGGCGAGGTAGTTAACATCTCCTAGCCACAGTGATAATGATGAGAGAGAGAGACGCAAACTCCAAATATACAGCAGGCGTCAGGGTCGAGATCGAACTCACGACCTCCTGTATACCAGGCGAGGTAGTGAACATCTCTTAGCCACAGTGGTGATGATGAGAGAGAGACGCAAACTCCAAATATACAGCAGGCGTCAGGGTCGGGATCAAACCCACGACCTCCTGTATACCAAGCGAGGTAGTTAACATCTCCTAGCCACCGTGGCGCCCTAAGGATGTCCGACTAAGGAGAGAGCAACAGCCAAAGGAGGCGAACACGCCGGTTGTTGTGGAGGAGATGGAGCCATAAAATTACGTCCCGTGCCGGGCAAGCTGGATGCAATGTTGCATTGTGGGGCCGTGCTTTGAGAGGGGGGGGAGGGGGGTTAGGAAGACGTTCATCCAGCAGTGGATAGCCCCCGGCTGATGTGGTTTTTTTCATCCAAGAATGGCTGTCCCGTGGATGAACTTGCACCTGTCATGGGAATGTAGAATTTACACCAGCGACTCGGGGTCACGAAACTAAAAAGGGCAAGGAGACAATGACACCGTTTAGTTTGGCGGCGCACGCCTGTGATGTGATTGATCCAGGGCTTTGGAAACAAACGGTGGTGGATCACATAGAGATTTGATCTGGAGTGGCCAGCAGATGACAGTACAGCAAGTGGGTTTACGAACCTATCTATGGGTTTCCATTCGAGTACTCTGGTTTCCCACCACATATTAAACGCATACAAATCACACTCGAGACTGGCATAGTCTAAGCCCAGTTGCAAATGAATGCACACGAGATACCCCATGAAGTAAAATGTGGAGTTGCACTCAAACTTGATCAATTCCAGCCAAGACGAACAAAGCGTTTGTAAAAATTATCCGTTTTTACTGCCACGTGACCAGCAGGACGTGTCAGAATGTGCAGCATCCTTCTGTGTGGGTCCACGGTCCACTTGAAGGGGGCTCAGAAGTAGATCTGCGACATCCGCTTCCACGGGCCATTCCTTCCCTGCTCCGCAAGACGATCCCGCACGGGCACGTTCATTGTCACGACGACCGCTTGCCGACAGCGCACACATCGGAGTAAACCCCGGGCCAAAAAGACACCCACACAAAAAAATAGACTGACAATAATGCGACAATATAATGTAATGGCATTGCAACCGTGCCGTTGACAGCTTGACGCGGCGTCTCGATGAAGAACAATATTCATTTATACTGGAGGAATCCGATGAGCCATAAAGCTCTTTTTGCCCCCCCCCCTAACTACGTTAAATAACAACGAGCGCCATCGCACATTTGCCCCGTGAGCACCTCCTCCCTGATGGGAGACAGGGAGGGGGGGCCCGGCTCCGTGGGTGTAAGAGCCGCCACCGTGCAACATTGGCGTGTCCCTCCCATTGTCCACACACTCCACACGGCGTTAAGCCGCATGCTTCCCCGGGGGGGCGGGGGGGGGGGCAAAGGAGATGACCATTAGGAGGCTGCTGTGGACGAGGCGCGGTGACTGCTGTTCAGCAGCTCTCCCTCCCTCCCTCTCCCTCTCTCTCCCCCTCTCTCTACCCCCCTCTCTCTCTACCCCCTCTCTCCCTACTCTATGTCTATGTTCCCCCTGTTTTCTATGTAATTTTTTTTATTTCCTCTCTCATTCTCCCCCCCCCCCCTCTCTCTCTTTTTTTAAAGTCCAAGGGGTTTATTGTTTCAAAACATCACGTTAACCGGTCTGCATTTCACGTGGGCTTCTGGGTCTGGGCCTTCAGCACCTTGACAACGATCTTCTGTTCCTCAATCAGGAAGGCGCGCGCGTGATTTTGTCACGGACGCACTTGGCGCACATGGAGCCTCCGTAAGCCCTGGAAACGTGCTTCTTTGACAACCTCTTTAGCACCCTCTTTCTTTTTTTTTACGATCAGTGGAAACAAGAAGATGCTCGGTGTAGTCGGCACTTTGCTTCGTTCATCATTTCGTAATTTTTTTTTTACTTTGCTTTATGTAAACCTCCACCTCTCGCTCACTCTCTCGCTCACTCTCCTCCTCTCTTTTTGTTGTGTGATTGGCGTTACTTTATGTTTAATGACAGTTGAGGACAGGAACAAATTCCCAAAACGCTCAGTCGCCAGAAGAAAAAAAACCGCACTGTAAAATGTTTAATTCGGTAACTGACAAATTCCTCTTAACTGCACAAGGTGACATACTCATATAGAAACCTAAAGCTTATGAAGTGAGTCCATGGGTCTATTTGAGCCTATGGGTCTTCGTGTAAGTCTATGGGTTTCTGTGTGAGCCAATGAGTCTCTATGTGAGTATACGCATCTCTGTGAGTCTTTGGGGTCTCAAATGCAAGTTTATGGGTCCCTCTAAAAGTATATGGGTCTCTGCGATTCAATGGGTCTTTATGCAAGTTTATGGTTCTCTAAGTGAGTCTATGGGTCTTTTACATTCGTCTATAGGTATCTTTAAGGCTATATAGGTCTATGTATAGATGTTGCTGGGTGAGGCCGGTGGCTTCGTCAACGTCTGCAGCTGCGGATTGAGGCCTGTGAGAGGTGGGAGACTCAGGACCGGCAGGAAGGCACGGGCGCTGAGGAGGTCGGGGGCAAGGGCCTCCGAGTAGAGGAGATAGAGGGCGACTGGCACTGCCCTCAGCACCGCCTCGCTCACCACTACAACCTGCAGCAGGCAGCCCAGTTGCATGCATGGGAGGAGGGAGGAGGGGCCATGCCAAGAGGTCCTTCCAGGGGGGCAGAGCTCAGGGTCCTTCCGAGTGGTGCAGCCAGCAGCTCCGATGCCAGCAGTCCAGACAGTACAGGACCCCGCACAGGGTCAGCCAGAGTCACCAATTGCTTCGCCCAATCACGAAGCAGCTACTCCTCTGGGATGGTGTAAGCACACCGCGCCACCCACACCTCTGGTGAATCTCTGTGTTGGTAGACGCGACACGTCTGCACCCCCCCCCCCCACCCCTTTTCCCCGGGGGGTGCAGGGGGGGGTGCAGGGGTCGTGCCCTGTGGGTGCAAGGACCCCCTCTGCACCCATGATTGACCCCCCAAACCCAGCACAAATACTTGCACGAACCGTCTGTTGCGGGTGAGGAGGACGAGAGAAAATCCGTATCGCTCCCTCTGTCTCTGGCGCGTGCCAGCAGCCGACCTGCCCGTTCCGCCGCCTGTCCCCGCGCCCTGGGAGGCCGCGGTGTCCGACGCGACGCGCGCGACACCTCCGAATCTCAAACGCAATGTGGGGGGAGGAGGGGGGGGTATGGAGGGGTCTCTACTGCCGTCTTCTTCTTCTTCCGTACGTCTGCTGATGTAGATGCAGAGCATCAATTGCGACCGCCACTTTCAGGTGGTCAAGCGCAAATGACGGCGTCAGTAGGAGCGGAGAAGTTGCATCGTCGCTGCGATGTTCTCCGTCGTGTTTGTGGATCGGGCCATTGCGTTGTCGTTACACGTTGTATGGGTCTGTTCTGGATGACCACAGTCGCACGGTTGGCCGCGTACGGTGCGGAAGAAGTTCAACACACGTACAGCCAGGAGTGGTTTTTTTAGTTTTCCAATCGTGCATCAGGTATCCGCATCTGTCAATTTGGGCAATGGTGCAAGACTCGTAATTGGCTCGTTTGTTGGGATTAGGGCTGCGTAACGATCCCCGGCCCAATGTGTGTCGTTAATCCCGCGACCTCCCGACAGACACAGTCAATCAGAAGCTTCAATTGTAACGTTGTACACGCGTTTAACAACCCTCGCCGAGCTCATTCTGTGCTGTTTGTTGCGGGTCGCCTGGCGCTAGTTTTGTGCTCAGCACCATTGATTTTCCAATTTTGTCTCCATCTCCGTTAAAATGCAAATTAATCAGTTACAAGCTACACGCGCCCGATGGTTGTTGATGAGTGTGAATGTGGAAGAGTAGGCAAAATTACCCCTTCCAAAGGGGGTCGCTCTCGAGCTCCCGCGAGTGGAGGCGCCCTTCCCACAGCAGTGGCGTGAGCGAGCAATTGCAGGGCTGCGCCTTTGCCACCTTCACGTTGACGTATACTCTGTGTGTGTGTATATATAAATATTTTAGTGTAATGTTCATCATTGCCAGTTGTATGGGTTTCTGGTGAACCGTGGCCCCGGGGGCGAGTTTCATGGTGTACAAACAAGGGGTTCACATTGGGACATTTGGTGAGAGTCGCACAGAGTCACCCCACGGCACGGCGTGGCACATTTCATCGCCGATATCCTCCTGCGATCCGTCGATCGTGGTTAATTTACGTGCGCTACGTTGAACTTCTTTCGCTCCGTACGTAGCCAACCGTGCTCATCGGAGGTGCGGGGCAAGGACACCAAACTAAACGCGCAAAGCAGTTCGAAAGAAACGAGTTCGTCAATCTGGGTCATTTAAAAGCGCAAAGCTCCGGTGGCTTACTAATATCGGAAGGAGAGAGCGTTCCAGACGGCCGCAGATGCGGTGGCCACCGTCTTCGTTCGATGGCTGAGCCAAAAAGCCGCTGTCGCTGCGAGGATGACGACCGGAGTTGGCGTGATGGTGCTCCACGTTCCGCTGCCGAGTTGGTGAACATCCAGCGAAGTGGACGGATCGCGCGGCGCTGTTAGCGACGGCCTCGGCGGGAGCGTGGCGCCAGGCGATAGCGGCTTTCTCTTTCCGTGTGTTTTGTTTGATGCCTTAAAGCCGAAGGTTGTTAATAATTCAGGGAATGTGGATTTTTTTTTTGCATGTCCGATGTCGGGCCGTCACTCAGCGCCCCTCCGACAAAGGCGCGCGACACCGGCAGACGAGCAGGTTCCGTTTCAGGGAAGGGAGGTGGCGTGGGCTCGATAATGTCGTGTTTACTAATAGGGGTTTTTCCACTTTTTCTGGCAACAAAACTGACATCTTTTGCAAGGAATCATGCTTACATTAACCACAATACTTGCAGTCAAATGCAAAAAAAAGCTGTCTCTGGTGTGGACCAATCAGTTTCAAAGACAATGCATAAATTATCAGAGTATTGTTTTTTATTTTGCATTTGACTGCAAGTATTGTGGTTAATGTAAGCATGATTCCTTGCAAAAGGTCAATTTTGGTACTGGCAAAGGAGGTCCCATGATGATATCGTTTTTGTTTGTGGCTCTGTGGTTTTGTTGTTGTTGTAATTCTCCTTCTCTCATTCCGTCTTTCCTTCAGTGGAAAGTGCACGATGCTCTAAGCGCGATATTTTGTTAAAAACAAAAAAGCCTTTGCACCGTCATGATTGCTACTGAACTGAGGCCCCACCACCCCCCTCCTCCTCCCTCGGGGACATTTTATACTTAAATAAAACGGAGGTGAAGTCCACACACTCGAGAGCGATATTTTTAAATGTCGCCGTCTAATTGTCATTATGAATTGTCGCTGGAACAATTAAACGATCACGTCGTCGTTTAATTGTTATTATTATTAGTTGTTCGAACAATAAAAAAACCGCTCGTCATCATCATCGTTTAATTGTTGACACGAACGTCGTCGTATTCTTCCCGTGGCGACATAATAATAAAATCATGAATGATTTCATTTCTATAATTATTCCTATTATTTGTATTTTTATTATTATTTTATTTTTTTACCTACGTGACTTTACCGAAAAAATCTAAGAGGCTGTTTTAAAGGTTTGAAATGGGTGGAACCCAAGGGTCATAAACGAAGTAGGCGGAGCATGTCAATGTAAGAGATTCGCATGTCAATGTAAACAGCGGCTGTGTTAGTGTGAACCTGTTAATGTAAAATCAGAGAGTCGAAAATAACAGCTAACATCGGAAGGTAGGATGGAAACATCACAGCCAGTTATTACTTAAACTGGTTAATAACGTCCTTACAATTATTGCTCAGTTTGTACCCATCTTCTCGGTTGAAATTGTGTCTGTGTCTATATATCTGGATGGATTCATGAACGAATCTTTGTTGATAGCCAATGGGTTTGCAGAGTCCCTTCGTCTTGGAGAATTCTATTTCGTGTGAGCCCACCGCTTTAACACAATTATCAGGACCAATACGGGTTGATTCGGTTCCATCATCACACGGGAGTTCGATAAAAAATTGCTACCAAATTTTTGTAGTAAGTCAACAGCGGTCGTGCAATGGACAGACTCGTTCCCGCCAAAGTAATGTGGAATTTCCACCTCCGGTTCTGCAAGGCTGTAATAAACAGGAGATTCGCACCCATGTCTCAATGCTCATTTGAGCAAGAAATCCCCGTGGCTTCACTTTCTCTCCAGGGCAGAGCATGCAGCTGTCAGAAGAACATTAGCGACGTTAATAATGATCATCATCAGCCATTATCGATCACTTGCTGGATGGATTATTGCATACAGCGTCTGCGAAAGTGCCACGCTTATTGATCACTACCCATCGTTGTTACGTTCTTACCCCGTGCCCCTACTGGACATCAGTGAAAAAGAGCTTCATAGCTCATCAGATTCCTCCTGCAGTATAAATATTATGATTCCGGTTGGCGTCCCTCTCGGGTGTTTGTGTTTGTCCCCCTCCCCCCGCCCCTCGTTCGCCCGCCACTCCCCCGTCGGTAGCAGACTCGACGACTCCCGGGCCAACAAATTCAAATGTCTCGGCAGAGCCGAAGCGATTCAACGGATCGACTCGTCACCGCTTCGAATGACGACGCCGAAATCACCGGCCCCAGTTTAGCGACCGACTGCCGAGCGGGCGCGCCCTTGTGACGGCGCGCTTGCGACAGAGGCACCACGGGACATGACCCGCGGCGGTCGAGACTAACGACGGAGTGGCAGCCGACGGAGGGACGCGCGGTGCCGAGCCCGGCGCGTCCCGCGCTCGACCGCCCGGTGGTGAAACGGAGGTCGCCGCCGCAGACCGGCGATCGACGCGCGCCGCTGTTTCTGTACAACTCGGTAGCGGCCGCGGGATTACCGCTAATTACAAATGCATTTTGCAGAGCCAGCGGTGTCTGTGTTTCAGGAAATATGCAATATAATATCACGCGCGGCACGTGAGGGCAACCCCCCCCCATCTCACCCTCTCTTACCCCCTAGACACAAATGGAATGAAACTTGAGCTAGCAACGGGCCCCGCTGGCGCTGGCTCTCTGAGTGAACCCACGGCCTCTCCCCTAACCCCAACCCCCCCCTCACCCTCTTATTCTTACCTCCCACCCTATCCAGCCCCCACTGCCCCAGCCCCCCGCCATAAATGTAGAGACGGTCACGGGTGGTGTGGTCATCACCATGCGCATCCGCCTTCCCAGCACTGACGTTCACGCATCGTGCCACGAAACAATTTGAGGCTCAGTCGCCCTAGGAGAGAGCCAGGACAGGTTCAGACAGCACTGGGCATTTATAGTTACAGTGCATATATGAACACACACACACACACTTTAAGAAATAACCTCGTGACAAACATGTGGACTGTGGCATTTATAGAAGTTTGGATGTGTTTATATTGCTACAATATATATAGTCCCTACTCGCTCTGTAAATGCCGTTTAATCCGGATTATAAGACGCTCCGGAATGTAAGACGCACCCAAGACACATGCCTGGTGTCAATAACGTAATACAAATATGGTCTCACAAACACAATAAAAAGTTCCCCCGTGTAGCCTTAACAGACTGGTGGAGCAAGTGCTGTTAGCGGGCACCTATGAAGGCCGGCACGGCACACGAGGGGGTGGGTGTCCAGCACCACGCCTGACCGCCTCTGTCTCTCTAGTCGCGATGTGTTTCCAACGCACCAGGTACTGTACACATTTAAGCCTGAGTCGACCTATGCGAGGTCCAGGACCGGTTCAGATAATCGTCACTGGTGTTGGTGGCAATGAGCGAGAGTTGAACTCGGGTGGGCCGGGTTCGTAGCGCAGTGCCACCGCTCCCCACCCGAACATAAACGCAGACACACACAAAGCAAACATCAACATCAACAACAACAAATCAATTAACACAGCCACCCTCACTCTCCCTCACGCTCTCTGAAGATTCCTCCAAGCATTTGCCGGGACGTTGGGACATTTTTATTGCCAATAAATAATAACTTAGAACGCTATGGACGAACACAAATATCAATACTCGACACCGAACGGGCAAAGGCGGTGGTTGTGGGGAAGGGCGCAGAGTCAATGCACAGCCGCCGTCTGCAGTTCTCTACTCAAGCCACCGATTTGGTGATGCTGCTGCTGCTGCCGCTGCTTTGGCAGTGATGCGCAAACACAAATCACGAACAACAACAAAGTCAACACGTGCGTCGATACACACCAAGGCCCAGGGGTCGTCACTGTCGGCCGTCGTTTCTCCGTGGCTTACCCCGCAGTCTGGGACGCGGCTTTCATCATTGTCACCATCGTCATCAGCATCGTCACCATCGTCACCATCATCATCGTTGTCATCATCATCGTTACCATCATCATCGTCGTCACCATCATCGTCATCGTCCCGTTGCTGATGCTGCTCCACACCGGCGGGTGTCCCCGGGTCAAATGAGCAAAACACTTTTTTTTTTGGTGAATCGGCCAAAACTCTTCGGCCTGCCAATCGACAATCTATCAGTGGCGACGATCCGAAACGTCGGTGGCAGTCCTCCCCCCTCCACCCACCCAACAAAAATAATTAGACGAAAACCATTTGCCAGCAACATGTGAATCCGGCCGCACGTACAAGTCTTGCAAGCAGGGCTTAATTTCAGCGGGGTCCTTCCCAAAACCTTTCAGGCACCCGGCACACCACATCCAGTGAGTCTACCTCTCGACGCAGCTGTGGCTACTGCAGTGGTAGTCGCGTGCCGCGTACACTCCAGTCAGCCAGCGACCCGGAACACATTGAGTGAGAAATGAAGCCCTGGCCTGCAGGCGATCACTCCCTCTCCCTTCGCCAGAACGAAGTCGGCCTCTGCCCTCCACCACCGTCATTCATTCCCCTCCCTCCACGTGCTCTGGGGCTCCACGGAGCAGCAGCAGCAGCGACCGCTGCACCCCACCACAAGTCTCAACCACGCGCTTCATTGCAGCCGAAACAGAACCAGAACGCTCTTCTAGATCAGCCTGTTCATAGAATCATAGGAATGTAGTGAGGTGCAAGAACATTTTAATTATTATTATTGATAGGTGTACCCGGTACACGAGTGGTAGTGCCTTACGCCGGTGATCCGTACTCCGAGCCAGCCGCTAGCTATAGCAGCGTTTGCGGAAAATAGAGCGGCGACATTTAGCCCCTGGTATCAACCACTTGGCTTGTTTACGTTTGGTATCGATGAGAAAGGATGAAGGAGTAGGGGGGAGGGGTGATGCCCCCCCCCCACCCCAACCCCTTCCCCAACCGCGTGAACCCATTACAGCTGCGTGAATGCGAATTTAAGATAAGAACAGGGAGGTGTATGGGGTGTGTGTGTGTGTTCACTGTCACCGGGAGAAGGAACACGCACTAGTCTTAGATTCTAGGTGCAACAGGAACGATATTGCCAGCCCCTCTGAGTTTTAGTCGTTTGAGCTCCACGCGTTGTTTTTAACTGTGGGCTGCTTTACCCAGCAGCAGTCGCCAGTCGTAGAGCACATCTGTACTGTGGTCGGGTTGATTGGTTGCCAATGCCCCTATTAGGTAGCCAATCACATCGATGAACGAAAGCTGCGTTGTCTCCTATAGCAGGGCAGTCGACATGAGGGCGCAATTGTTGGGTTCTGACTTTGTACACGCGCACTGCGATGTACTTGAACTTCTTCCGCACCTAAAGCTTTCGTGACTCCAGGGATTCATCTTCTTGGTTCTTTCGGTAAAGTCACGTAGAATTGAAATAATAAAATAAAACATAATAAGATAATTCTCACGACGTTTCGGCCACAACACAAGCAGCCGTCCTCAGGTGAAGACCAGGCTGCTTGCGTTGTGGCCGAAATGTCGTGAGAATTATCTTATTATGTTTTATTTTATTATTTTATTATTTCCATTCTACGTGACTTTACCGAAAGAACCAAGAAGATTCTTCCACACCGTACTGTAGCCAACCGCGCTAATCGGATGTGCGGGTGAAGGACAACGAACTGAACACAAAAAAGCAGCTCTAAAGAAATGAGTTTTAAATCTAGATTAAAAGAAGCATCGGTGGCCAATTCACAACCGCTGTTGCATGAGTAGATCAGTCTGGGTGACGGTATGAAATACATTAAGTGCAGGTGAACCCAAGGAAATACATTTATTGACGTTTCGGCTTATGGGCCTTCTTCAGGAAAATAGAGGTTTGCAGCGAGGGAGGCTACGATATCCTGGAAATGATGAATGGGTTGGATATCAGATATATCAACGATGGTAATAAGATAACAAAACAACCCCGTGCAAGTATTGTTCTTAATCAACCTGGTGTCCATCGTGTGAATTCACCGAAGCAGCAATTTCATACGCGACTAAGTAGCTAATTCAATTGCAACCTGGGGTGAGCGCCGGGTAAATGCGCGAACGTGTCGCGCCGGCTAAGGTAGGAACGAGTAAACAGACCGCTGCCTTATCAAAGCAGGAATATATAATATGTTATTTACATTCACCGATACATTATCTACACAATCGTCATTTTTGAATTTCATCAAATGATCCGTATGCCTGCTTGTTCAGCTGTCCCGACACCGCACCCGCGACGGACCGCGTGCTCTTCGGCGCGATGTCCGACGTTTCACTCCGCGCAATGGGTCCTTCTGCAAGAAGCAAATCGTTGGACATCGTGCCCAAAAGCTGCGCGGTCGTGCCGACTCGTTCCTCCCGTGACTTACGCGACACGCCGGCGCAACTTCCCGTGTCATCCTAGCAGCTCGGACTCCACAACACCACAAAGCAACCGCAGACCGTTAGATCACCCACCCCTTTTAACCCCCCCCCCCCGCCGCTCCATGAATGAGGATCGGTAGGGCCCAGTGAGAAGATTACTGGCTCAAAGATTTCCCAACCCAGCTGTGTCACCTCAAGAGCAGAGCAGGAGGTTCGATGTACGCGAGCGAGCGGGCGACCGAGTGCGATGTCACAGAGCAAGCCGAGCTGGGGAGAGCGTCGTGCGTCTTGCGTCGTCTTCCAGGGACGCCACCAACGGGGGTGTGGGAGCTGTGTGCAGGTGTGAGATCTGTGTGCAGGTGTGGGAGCTGTGTGCAGGTGTACGAGCTGTGAAGTACAGCAGCAGGAGGAGAGCAAGAGGGTGCAGGGTGGTTGGTGTAGACCAAGGATGGGAAACCTATTGCTTACTCAGGACCAAATATGACTTCCAAATACCTTTGGCAGTCAACCACACATTCACAGACACACACACACACAGCCCAGTCACTTCTCCCACTGCTGGATATGTACAGGCATGGCTGAGCGCGACACTAAAATATTCCCCTCTAGTACCCGATTAGAGCGGCCAAGGCGCTCGCAGTGATGGACAGGTGTCGTTTGTGGGCCGTTTACAAGTGGTGGCGGGTCGTACAAAATGAAGGGGCCATATGAAACGAAGGAGTGGACCGCGTCCGGCCCTTGGGCCGTGGCGTTCCCCACCAGGTGGTGGAGAGGCTAGGCATGTAACGACGCATCATCGATCGGAATCGACTCTCACGCAGGTATCGTTACGAACGTCGTCGTATCGCGCGTGCGAGAATCGATTCAATTACAAAGCTCGTCACGTGCACATTTCATGCAAATGTTACACGGAGGCTAATGGAACGACCGAGAAGGAAGACACAAGATGAGCAACGCAAGCTGAAATGGAAATAACAACGGGACAGAACAAGCGAGACTGTACAGATGAGGCAGAACAAGGGCAGAGGACATGAGTCGGAACAATTGAGAGAAGACAAATGAGGTAACAGAACGAGACAGAAGACACGGAACACAGCTAGAACAAACAAGACCTTGCTCAGCAGACATACTGCACAAGACAAGGTAACGCAGAGAACAAACCAGACAGGCGATACAGATAACACAACACAAACGAGACCAAATGAATGTATCGTTACATGCCCAGTGGGAACGGCGGGCGAGGGTTGGCGGTGTGGCAGTGGGAGGAGGGGGGGGGGGGGTGTAGGTTGGAGCGTGTGTGAAACCGCGTGCGGTTATGACTCGGAGCAGAGGTCTGACGCCAGGCTGGTGGGGGTGTCGGGCAGATGGGATGGCAGCAGGGTGACGTCACTCGCCGACGACGAGTCCGAACAGGAGCCCGAGTCGGACAAACTCGCCTGCAACGACGACAACCACGACAACAACAACCACAATAAATGATTAAACTCAACGATTTTTTGTAATTTTACCAGGTAAGGCCCGCTGAGCTGTGCAGCTGTTTTTCAGAAGCGACCTGGCGACAAATGACAGCTCAACGAAGTGGCCTATCACGTGGAAATGTGTAGCAGCCAATTACTCTGAACGCGTCACGTTGATTCTGAACGTGGAGGGAAGGACCCATTAGAAAAATCCATGCGAGCACAGGGAGAGAGACGCTACAAACTACAAATATACAGCAGGCGTCAGGGTCGGGATCGAACCCACGGCCTCCTGTAAACCAGGCGAGGTAGTTAACATCTCCAAGCCACCATGGCGCCCCATTGGTCGCTCATGGAGCCCCGGGACACCCGTGAGGGCAATGAAAGAGTTCCAACAGGAGACCGAGCCGGACAAACTCGCCTGCAACGACACTGACCCAAAATGGCAGCGCTGAGTCGTGACATTTGATCAAATTCCCGGAGGGGGTGAGGGGTGAAACACAAATCATTCCATTTCCGCAACCCTAAGGGGCACCCAAAGCAAACGATATGAGACAGATTTTAAAGAAACACTCCGCCTAAGCCCCTTCGTGCGATAGGCAAATCCGCAGTTATTTTGCGATCGCATCGGTGCGCGAAAGCCGCGAGGCAAATGTTGGAGAGTGCGCGTGACGAATATTTACGGGGCGAATGCAGCGAAGCAGCAAAGCGGCACAGCGCCGGCGCCGGAAAATACGGGCCAGGGATCGGACTCCGCTTTGGCGGCCTGGCAGCGGGACGCTGTGTACACCCTCACCCCCTAGACGCACGCACGAGTCCGCGAGGCTCGACCAGGACGCAAAGGTGAGCCGGAAGCAACCATTGAGCCCCGCCCACTTTCACGTAGCCCCACCCACTCAACTATCCCCACCTAAAGGGAGAGGCCCTCAACTCGGGTAGCCCCGCCCACTGTTCAGGTAGCCCCATCCACTGTTCAGGTAGCCCCGCCCACTGTCCAGGTAGCCCCACCCACTGTTCAGGTAACCCCACCCACTGTTCATGTAACCCCGCCCACTGTTCAGGTAACCCCGCCCACTGTTCGGGTAGCCCCGCCCACTGTTCAGGTAGCCCCGCCCACTGTTCAGGTAACCCCGCCCACTGTTCGGGTAGCCCCGCCCACTGTTCAGGTAGCCCCGCCTGCTGTTCAGGTAACCCCGCCCACTGTTCAGGTAGCCCCACCCACTGTTCAGGTAGCCCCGCCCACTGTTCAGGTAGCCCCGCCTGCTGTTCAGGTAGCCCCGCCCGCTGTTCAGGTAACTGCCCTTTTAGATTATTTTAACTGCTGCTGTAAATTTCCATGTGATAGGCCACTACGATGAGATGTCATTTGTGATAGTCAGGCCGCTTCTGAAAAAGAGCTACGTAGCTGAGTGTGTCCTTACCTGCCAAAATAAAAAGTTAATATCTCCGAATCGTGAGTCGAACAACGAAGCCGGAAAATCTTAGCCGGGGACAAATTTGCGCTTTTTCACCAAAGCTTTGGAACTCTGAAGCGGCGTCGGGTTTGGTAGCTTTACGTATACCTGAATTCGGTAAACACCTGTATAGAGATACCCCTGTATCCCAGCACACCCACCTCGCAGAGCACCTCTCCCTCCATGCGCATGCAACTTTTATCCAGGTAACCTTACCTTACAATCCATATCCATTTGTCTCAAGGTATCTTTACCCACGATCGCACGCCTACCTCCACGTACGCCCCCGTCTCTGAGTACACCTGGACCCTGGTTACCCCCCAAGTGGTCCCGTGCGCCTGTCTCCACGCAGCAGCCACCGCTTTGCCCCCCCCCACCCCCACCGCATCCCACGACGCACGCCCGTACACACGCACACACCGCACATACCGCACGTGCACGCACGTACCGCTTGTCTGGTGGAGGGCAGGGGCTGCAGCTGGGCGCGCAGGGCGAAGGCGGCGAGCGCTCGCCACGAGGGGGGCTGTGGGGAGGCGCGCACCGCCACGGCGCCGCCGCCGCCACACCCACCGCCGGCTCCGGCAGCTTCGGCCTCCGCCTCGCTGTCCTGCGTCACGGGGCTCCGCGCCACCAGGGCTTTGCCCTCCAGGCCCTGCAGGCACTGCGAGCGCAGCGGAAGCGCACGGCAGGCACTTTTAAATCGGAGATCGAGAACTCATTTCTTTAGAACTGCCTTCTGTGCTGAGTTTGTTGTCGTTTCCCGCACCTCCGATTAGCACGGTTGGCTACGTATGGTGCGAAATATGGTGAATAACATATATAAAGAGTTCAACATATCGGCAACGTCTCAGTAGGGTCCGCCGCCCCACCAAGTCAAGCGCGGCGAGTCCTCGTGTAACGCGCTTGTAGTAAGTAGTAGATTCGAGCGTATTGGCACAAGACAGAGGAAAGTGGAAACAAATGGCGGAATGTGCGGTGGACACCCGAATATGGGCTATCGGCCCATGGGTCGTGATGATGGAGTGAGCAAGCAGGCACCTTCCTGAAAAGTTTGGCGTTAAGCAGAAAATGCCGCCTCGTCCCGGAGTGTTTGGTGGGGGGGGGGGGGGGGGGGTTGCAGGGCACAGGGAGCAGGGAGTCCCCCCCCCAAGAAAAAAAAGACTGGAGTGGGAAACGAGGGGCCCTGGGCGTGCGCTGCGGAGGTCACGTGGAAGGGACGGGACTCACGGTCTTGGCGTCCGGCGACGGCGGCTCTCCGTCGTGCCGCCCCGCCAGGGTGCGCTTCTTGTCCTTGCAGCGCTTGTTCTGGAACCAGACGCGGATGACGCGGGGGCTCAGGCCCGTCATCTCCACGAGCTGCTCCTTCAGGAGGGCGTCGGGCCGTGGGTTGGCCGCGTAGCACGTGCGCAGCGTCTGCAGCTGTCGCTCCGTCAGGACGGTGCGGACCCGGCTCGCCTTGCCCGAGCCTGGCACAGGCCACGGGGGCCACGGGGCACGGGCGGGGTAGGCAGGGCTCGATGAAATGCGGGGCTCTTTTTAGTGCAGTGCTCCTCAGAGGGGGGGGTCACTTTCGCCGATAAGAGGTCGGTGTGGGGGCCGCCACACACTTGACACCATTGGGGTTTTACAGCACGGTGGGGTGTTTCACTGTTTGTGTATTTTCTGGAGCCGCACGAAAGGCCACCAGGGACCACCAATGGCCCGCGGGGCCTTGCAATGAAGAACGCTGCTCTAGTGGCCGCTTTACTATCGTACACCACATCCGTCTCTCAGGGCAATTCTACACTGGCACTTCCCCACGCTCCTTTGGGCACTTTTCAGCATTTTCAACGAGATCCCAACCTGCTCGTGATGAATCACTTTCACCACAACCCGAATTAGATTAACAGTAGAAATTCATTCACGTCATTGGAGAACTGCATCACGGGACTTGGGTCTCGTGTCCCCCACCCCCACACAGAATCCTACCCCCCATCCCCTCTCGGCTTCTCTAGTGCACTGTTTCTCAAACTTTTTTCTGGCCCTCGGACCACTGAACCGATGCAAACATTTCCGCAGACCGCCCAGACCCCCACCCCTAGTGACAAAATGCACAAGCTTCTCTTTTTAAATACCACTCGTACTAAATTATTCACATTACCGGAACATAAAAAAAAATGTACGCACCTAAAATTTAGTCTTTTTAGGGAGGTTAGGACTGTTCAATCAGGGCAGTTTACAGAAATTAATTTTAAATATTAATTGATGTCCGAAACAAAAACGCTTTTGTTATTGTCCGGATCGACCTGCGGACCAACCGGCAGTAAGTACAGGAGACCACGCTTCAAGCACCAACTGCCTTGACACCTCACAGCCTTGCACATCACACATGACGACGTACCGGACATGTGCAGGTCCCCGCACGAGGCTCGTGGCACAGGTCCCCTCTTCTCCCCGGGGCCCCTGTGAGCCCTGTCGGGCCTCAGCGACGGCACGCCAACGGGGCGCTCCTGGTGATGGTGGTGGTGGTGATGGTTGTGATGGTTGTGTCCCTGGTTATGGATGTGAGGATGATGATGGTGGTGGTGGTTGTGATGCGGGTGATGGTGATTATTCTCGAGATGCGCATCGTTGAGTTGCTGCTGTTGCTGCTGCTGCTGTTGTTGTTGTTGATGACTGTGATGATGATTGTGATGATGGTGGTGGTGGTGATGGTGCGGTGGGGGCGGGAGGCTGTGCGCCCTGCACAAGAGCTCTCCGGCGGGGCGCAGGGAGACCTCGTCTCCCGGCAGCAGGCGCCGGGCGCACGCCCAGCAGCGGAAGCACGCGAGGTGGTAGACGCGGCCGCGCACTCGCATCACGAGCTCGGTGCGGCTCAGACCCAGCGAGCAGCGCGAGCACTTGACCCCGAACAGACTGTGTAGGGGCAGCGGGGGTAGGGGGGGAGGGAATAGGGAGCAGAGAGAAGGAGGAATGAAAGGGAGGAGGTAGAGTAGAGAGAGACGGGAGAGAGAGAGAGGTAGGAAGACGGAGGAGAGAGATGCGGTGAGACCAGAGATGGTTTTGAGAAAGGAGAGGGAATAGGGAGCAGAGAGGGGAGAAAGTTAGACGAGAAAGCGAGAGGGAGGATAGTGGAGGGAGAGAGGAGAGAGAAGGGACATTGAGAGGAAAGGATCAGAGGGGTGACGACATGAGGCGAGGGGCAAGACAGCAGCAGCACGGCCACCACTCTCAGTAGTAACTCCGACACGTGCACAGCATTTGTCGACCCATTGCTGGTTGATTTGCAAAATGATGCAAGATTTACAGGACACGCCCGGCTGCCTTTGTTTCCCCAGTGCCGATGTTTTTTTTTTTAAACATACTGCACCGGTCCACCTAGGGGAGGCCCCAGAACTGGTTAAAATAAACCTCACTGGTGTTGGCCGCGAGCGGCAATCAAACCCGGGTCGCCGGGTTCGTAGTACAGCGCGCTCACCGCTACGCTACTGCTCCCCACATACACACACACGCGCACGCGCGGGGTCGTGAGAAGGGGGGGGGGGCCCATACCGGTTGTAGTCCCGCTGGCAGAAGGTGCGGCCTGCGCGCACGAAGCAGGAGCGGGCCTCGTGCAGCTGCGCACGGCACTCGGCGCAGCGCAGGCAGGCGGCGTGGAACCGCAGGTCGGGCCACACGCGCAGCAGGAACGCGTCCCGGATGGGCCTCCCGCACCCCGCGCAGCCCGCGGAGACGCCCTCGGCGCCGTCGGCACCACCACCACCGCCGCCGCCTCCTCCTCGTCGGCTCCCATCGTCGCCGCCGACGCCGCACTCGTCCGCCTCTGTTGGGCAGGCGGGAATCCAATGCCGAGCGTCTAAAGTCTAATCAACGAGGCGAGCATTAACGTCTCCCACGTGCGTCTGCCACTCTGCGTAAACAAAACAAATCAATATCCGTGGGACCTTTTTGCCAGTACAGATCTGCCCTCGCATTATCTGTCCCACCCAACGACTCTCAAACTCACACAGAGACCCATAGAGTCACACAGATACCATATAGATCTACCCTCGCATGATGTGTCCCACAATCAACTCTCAAACTCACACAGAGACCTATAGAGTCACACAGAGACCCTACATATCTGCCATCACAATATCCCACCGTCTGCTTCGAGGTCTTCTCTTCCCTCTTGGTCGCAAGACTCATGGAGACCACTCCAATGCCGCCGCTGACCAACCGGCCCTTCGCCATCCCGCGCGACGTCCCACCACGTGCGGCCGTTGATTGCCGCGCGTTCTCACAGCGCCAGGCCGTGACGCCAAGGCGCCGTGCTTCGCGGTAGGTGGCGATGGATGCTGGGTTTTTCCCCCCCCCATTAGGTAATTTGCGGCACACGTGGCCTCCCCTCTTTCGCAAACGACATCACGGGGACCTTGAGCCGTACGCTGTGAAGGAAGCGGGCGACACGCAGTGTCCGTGGGGCGATGCGCCCGCGGAGTGTTCACCAGGGCGGCCGAGGGAGATTTCGAACCGGGAACCTCTTGCTCAGCCACGTCAACGCGCCACACGGCTCGAAAGAAAAAGTTCAACATTGGCCAGATTCCAGATTGCATCCTCTACAGCGGAACAAAAAAACACACTCGGCGCGCCGCTGACATCTGAACCAGGGCCGGTTGGGATATCACTCGGCACCGATGTTAGTTGTGGTTGGCGAATGGAACTCACGTCGCCGGGTTTGTATAGCGCAGTGCGTCAACCACTGCGCCACTACTCCCCCACTGTAGCTCACAAAGACCACCCCCCTCCTACACAGCCACTAACACACTGTTCGGACAAGCGCTGTTCATGAGAACTTCATTGAGGCCGGCACGGCACACGAGCGGCGTGTGTATCCAGAACCACGCCCGGCCGTCTTTGTCTCTCTAGTGGCTCGTGTTTTCTTTTTATTATAAACAGTACCAGATACTCATGTAAACGTGAGTTGACCAAGGGGGAAGCCCCGGACTAGTTTAGATATTCGTCACTGATTTTTTTCCCGCAAGCAGTAATCAAACTCTGGATTCGTAGCGAAGTGCCCTCACCACTGCGCCACCGCTCCACACGGTAGCACCACATTGCTCACACACACACAAAAAGAAAAAGAACCCCGTATAGCCTCAACAGACTTTTGGGGCAAGTGCTGTTAGCGAGCACCGCACACAGACACACACACACGTGCACGCACGCACAAGATACCTCGTGAACACCCCTCGAGGTAGCGGACTCAGGTTTGTTGTGCAAATAAACTCAGGTGCTCGGGTGCGTGGTAGCGTGCACAAACCACTCGTTCAACCCAGCAGAACTCGCGAACATTGCGTTTGTGTCCGTGTGCGAAGCAGTGTCCCTGTGTGGCTGCGTGTGTGTGTACTGTCAGAGGTCGACTCAGCCTCAAATGAGTACCCGGTGCGACGGCGTGTAAACATCGCCAACTGGGGATACAAAGGCGGTCGGGCGTGGTGCTGGCCACCCACTCCTTTGTGTGCAGTGCCGGCCTTAATCGGTGCTGCTCGCTAACAGCACTTGCCCCAACAATCGATTAAAGGCTCTACGTGTGTGTGTGTTTACGTAAGAACGTCTGATTTTGGAACACGGACCTTTAAACTTTAAAGCGACGCTCATCTCAGGAGTGACAATTCCACATTCCTATGGCGGACTGCAGGGCAGCTCCTTCTGAGTGCTCACAAAGTTGGTATTTATTTCATGAGCTCTTTAAAAAAACGAAGGACTGAATCGACTCATGCGAACTTGTTCGCCTTCTGATTGCAAGTTGCACGGGCTGACCAATGTGCTACCGGGCCTCAAACTCAGATTGACACTAAACTAAAATTATACATCTTCTTGTTTTTTTCGGTAAAGTCACGTAGAAGGGAAGTAATAAAATAATAGAAATAAAACATAATAAAATTATTCTCACGACGTTTCGGCCACAATATTTTTATTATGTTTTATTTTTATTATTTTATTACTTCCCTTCTACGTGACTTTACCAAAAGAACCAATAAGATGAATCCCTGCAGTCACGAAAGCTTTAAATCGAAATTTAAAACTATACACTTTACCAGGTAAGGCTCGCTGAGCTATATCGCTCTTTTTTCAGAAGCGACCTGGCGACAAATGATAGCTCAACCAAGTGGCTTATCATCGTGGGAATTTATAGCAGCCAATTATTCTAAACGAGTGATGTTGATTCTAAATGTAGAGGGAAAACCCGGAGAACCTCGCGACCACGGGGAGAGAGACACGAAAATTCAAAATATACAGCAGCAGGCGTCAGGGTCGGTATCGAAACCACAACCTTCTGTAGACCAGGCGAGGGAGTTAACATCTCCTAGCCACCGTAGCGCCCTAATGTGACATTGTTGGCGATATCCGCTTTCTCCACTCTGAAGAAGAGCCCCTGGCCTTGTCCGAAACGTTAATAATAAAATAATAACTTGGAAAAGTCAACAGCTATTCCATTGTAAGTAGCGATTGTTGTGAATGACGACATCATATAAGAAACCCTCGACTCACCCGATACAGAACCTTCGTTCCCTCCCATACAGAACCCTCCTCCCATCCCATACAGAACCCTCGTCCCATCCCATACAGAACCCTCGTCCGATACAGAACCCTCGTCCCATCCCATACAGAACCCTCGTCCCATCCCATACAGAACCCTCGTCTCATCCCATACAGATCCCTAGCTTCATCCCATACAGAACCCTCGTTCCATTCCATACAAAACTCTCATCCCATACAGAACCCTCGTCCCATCCCATGCAAAACCCTCATCCCATCCCATAAAGAGCCCTCGTCTCATCCCATACAGAATCCCCGTCTCATCCCATAGAGATCCCTCGTCTCATCCCATACAGAACCCTCATCCCATCCCATACAGAACCCCCGTGTCATCAAGGTGCCTCGATGTGGCTGAGGAGCCATCGGCACATATCCCACGATCGTGCAGCAGCACCCAACCAGACGAATCGCGAGAGAGGCGCAAAGCTTCATCCTAACGCCGACAGGAGCTGGTCGTGAGTCTCTCCGTGGGTCACTGGAGCACTTCGTCGCTTCCGACTCGACGTCTCATCGGTTACTCGACTAATCGTGAACACGTGTGGCTTGCCGATGACACTCCACGTAGCAACGTGGACCTCGACAATGTCACCTCGGCGTTAACCGACTCAAGCCTCAATCTCCCTTCGGAGGGTCTTGCTGCCGTCACCATCGTAGGCACTCACCCACAGAGTGTAGGTGTGCGTGTTGAACTTCTTTCACAACAAACTAAACACTAAAAGCAGTTCGAAAGAAATTAGTTTTCAATCTCGATTTAATTCGAGAGTGGACCAACGCGGACGTCCAGAATAAGCACCTCCTCATTCGAGCTCCAGACATCACGGGACCTCCTCCTCGTGGCTTTCACTTTCCTCCTCCCCCGTCGGAGACACCGGCGGTGCAACCATCAACCGCATCACAACATCAGCAGGCCGATGCGCGGACTCCTGCTTCGTGAACAGCGAATTAAAGACGCAGCCGCAGTATAACGCGACTCGTGGCCATGCAACCTTAAGCTATGGACCACATAGTAAACCTTCAGATACATAAAAGACTCATAGAGCCACATATATACCCACTGATATACACAGAGACACACATAGCGACACATGGAGGAGACGCATAGAGATTCATAGAGCCACAAAGAGATGCATTAAAGACCAGCCAAGGCAGTGCGACTGTGGCCATGCAACCCAAGCTACGGACCGCGCGGTAACCCCACGGTGGTCTGAGCGTCTTCAACGGAGTCGGAACAGAAACACTCCACGAACTCCCTCTGCCGAAGCCCTCTCGTCGTCGTGGCTAGCAGCACGGTTGGCTACGTGCGGTGCGAAAGAAGCTCAACGTACACACACGTACACGTTGTTGGCATTTAGCCCCTGAGACACACCGCCGCCGCTGCTGCTGCTGCTGCTGCCGCTGTCACCACGCACCACGAGAAGAGACTCGCCGTCGCGCGAGTCGTCTGTGCGCGCGAGTCGAGGGCGTTGCTGCCGCGACACGGACACCGCCTGCCACCTGTGGCCATCCACACACCTGGCGGCGTCTCTATGGGGTCAGCACAGGTAAACAACAACAACAACAACCGCCCCCACCAAGACAAACAAACACAACGAAGAGGAACGAACACGGAATGTATCACAAAGACGATGAGTTTCCCGTGTAGCCTGCTTAGACTATCGGGGGCAAGCGATGTTTGCGAGCAACTATTAAGGTCGGTGTATGTCAAGTATCCCGCCCGGCCGCTGCACATAGTAACGGTAATCATTTAAGGTTGAGTGGATATAGAGGCGGCACAGTAGATGTGCTGTTACCACGCGTGGCAACATGATCCCCCCCGTATAGCCTCGACAGACTGTAGGGGCAAGTGCTGTTTGGGAGCACCTATGAAGGCCGGCACGACACACGAGGGGGTGGGTGACTAGCACCACGCTCGGCCGCCTTTGTCTCCCGAGTGGCGATCTTTACACAGCGCACCAGGTACTCATTTGAGACTGAGTCGACCTAGAGGAGGCCCAGGACCGGTTCAGATAATCGTCACTGGGTGTTGGCCGCGAGCGGGAATGGAACTGGGGTCGCCAGGTTCGTAGCGCAGCGTAGCGCTAACCGCTACACCACCGCTCCCCATACACACACTGACACACCCGTACAATGAATGTATAACAATCACGTCGTGATGCAGCATTAATTCAAAGCATACCTTGGAAATATAAACACACAAAAGGAAGGTCTGAGTTGTGTGTGTGTGTGGTATTCGTGTGACAG